ATATATATCTACTATTATATTTAGATTTATGTCATTATCATGTCCTTTGCATCTTTTAATCAGTTACAGTACTCATATAAGTTAGCACAGGCTTTTCTAGTGCACATGTACCTGTAAGTAGATGTATTAATTATCTCTTTTTGTTCGAATAATTTTAAAATTATCTCTTAAGCGATTAATAAAAAATTTGAATTTGAAAAACATTGGATAATGATACACAAGCATAGAGTTGAATATTCCAACTTACTAATGCAAACTGCTCATTGTTTGAACCAGCTTCACATGATTTATATATAGTGCAAGTTATTTAACCAAATATCACAATTAAAAAATTGACAAACATATAGACATGCACCACACATAAAATACAAAGATTTACATGTTTGAATTGTGAAAATTCTATAAAAAATCTTTCAATTGGAGATTACAAATTTCAACTCTCAAAATGGCTATATATGTCTCTTAAAATGGCTTTTTGTGTTGTCTCATCTCATATCACAAATCATAAATGTCTTATATGCAGTGCCTAGAGAGAGACCTAAAACTGAATCCACAACCCACAAAAAGAATATAAAAAAAAAATTAAAAAAAAATTGAACCACAACTTCACATATCCTTATAATCATGTTGCCAACCTATTGAATATTATTGCCAACCTCACTAGGCTTCACCATTCACGTCCATTTTTCTTGCGATATACTTTTTTTCGTGCCAAAATAGATCTTCACTTTGGGATGGAGGGATAACAAACCGCCAAAAGGAACAAACAAGAAAAACTTAGCAAAGGGACACGTGTGAGTTGGGAATCTTAATAAATGCCAAAAACCCACCTCAATTTTACCAAAGAAAGTTTAAAAAACACAACATCCATTCTCTATTTTATTTGTGTTCACACTACATGGAACTTTGTGTCTTACCTGGCTTATGTATTTGTATGTTTGCCCACCAATATATATATATATATATACACCCTAGTATGTCATTCTGTTGCCAACTTGCTTTTCTTCTTCTTGACTAGCTGTTGATATCTTCAAGTTTTCTTGCTTTTGCTAGGTTTAGAACATCAATATTCATCTGTTTTTGCTCTTGGGGTAGAATTCAAGACAATGGAAAATAAATCCACTAACCCAATGAGAAAGCGAAAAGTACTACAGCGTTCTAATAAGTTAGTAAGCAGGGGTAAATTAGTAATTTTGTCTCTGACAGCCGGCAAGTAGTCTTCGTAATACGCAACCATGAGAAAGAGAAAAGTACTACAGCATTCTAATAAATTAGTAAGTAGGGGTAAATTAGTAATTTTGTCTCTTACAGTTGGGAAGTATCTCTGCTGAGAGGAGGTAATATGCAACCTTAAAAAAGTTTAGGATTTGACCTGCTCCAAAAAAAAGTACACTAGCTAGCTATATTGCAACTATACAATAATTTAGGGTTTTTTTTGTTTTGTTTTTTTGGCACTTTTGTCTAAAAACTACATAGAAATTTTTTAATTATTATTTTTTATTAAAAACTGTAAATTTGAAAGCAGTGGGAATAAGACTGACATGAGGTTGGTCTCTAAATGTGAGTGTGGAACAACAAATTTTTGGCCTCAGGTGTCCTTAATTGAGACGTTAACTGAATAATGACTGATTCATAGTGCAAGTTATTGAACCAACCAGCCTGAATCTACCCATTTGCAAACAGTTTGGAATGGCTACCCTAACCACGTGGAATGTGGTATTCATTAATGACATTCTCACTCGATCGGCTTCTATCGAGAAGAATGGGATTCAATTGTCAACTACCTCTGTTAAAAATAGGATTCATGGGCTAACTAAAAGGCCAAGTAACTCAGCAGTATCAAGACCCAATTTCCTAAAAGAAGGTTTTTAGTTCGAGTTTTAGGAGACGTGTATGATTTTGCTTTACCAGCCATACGTGTGATTTTACTTTACCAGCCATAGCATGGCACATGGTTTCATAAAACCACATGATAAAAGATTATAAAATAGCAGATACTACGAGAATTTTATTTGTGTTCACACTACATGGAACTTTGTGTCTTAACATGCTTATGTGTTTGCCACCAAGATATATATAAACCTACTTTACTTCTTCTTGAAATCTCTTCTTTTCCCTTGCTTTTGCTAGGTTTAGAAACACCATTCATCTTTCTTCTTTTTTTCTTTCTTTTTTTGTTCTTGGGGTACGATTCAAAGCAATGGAAAATAAATCCACTAACCCAATGAAGAAAGAGAAAAGTAGTACCAGCAATCCACCAAAGAGAGGTCAGATCAAAGCTAAGATACTTGAGGAACTGATAGGGACACTGATGAGCAAGACAACAGATGATGGGAGAAAACAACCAGAACATACTGATGGGAAATCCTTTTCTGAGAAGTAGAACCATTTCGAGCCAATTTTAGCTTTCTTTTGAATCAACTCTTCTTACTTTTTTTAAAAATGAATCTTTGGAACTGCTGATGTATATATTAATTGCGTTACTTATAGCTTCAAATAAAAGTTATGTGGATTCAAGAATATAGTGTGTGTGTGTGTGTGTGTGTGTGTTTATGCATATTGTGAAGGATTGAATGTTTTTATAGCTAGAAACAAAAGTTATGTGGATTCAACAATATAGTACGTGTGTGTGTTTATACATATGGTGAAGGATTGAATGTTTTTTCATAATTTTTTGAAATGAAGCCCATTGTCTCATCACTTTCATTTTAAGGGATCAACTGCATGAAAAATGAATTTAAATACTTGAATACATTTTGTGCCTAAATTTTTTAAAATTTCACATGTATTTGATTTTTCTCCTTTTATTATATTTATTTATTTGTTGGCACAGTCACATACTTGCATGTTTTAAATGAGGCTATTGGATGCTGGTTAGCTCTATGCATTAAAATGAGTAAATTAATGGCACAATCACACATGTGCCAGAAGTGCTTGTGGAATCCAAGTCTTTTTCAAGATGAGGAGTTTTCTGTTTGATTATAACCAAATAAGTTTCAATTTTTCTAAAAAGAAATAATATCTTTGATGTGTTCACACCAGATCGATAAAAGCTTGTGTCTATAGCCTATAAAAGCAAAGATAATATATATATATATATATATATATATATATACATAGAGAGAGAGAGAGAGAGAGAGAGATGGTAAACAAGATGGTCTTCCAAGGCGTCTACATGCCAAGATAATAAATAAATAAAAACAGAGAATATGTTTGAGAAGTACTAACAAACATCAACCGCGAAAAGTGTAATTGGAGAGTTAGCCTTAAAATTTTGGATTTTCGGGTCAGTGCGCAATGTATCATGATGTTGGCACATAAAGTGGCAGACCAATGGTCAGCCAGTTCAACGGTGACATGGTGTATTAAAAAGGGGACAAGTGAACTAAATCATGATTCAAAGTTAAATTAACACATGTCAAATTTTAAAGGGCAAGAGATTCCGACATGCCGGAAACATCGGGTGGAACAAGAAAGGCGGGTTATGGCAGGGTAACGACAATTGCCAATAAAGTCATGGATTGAATGGTTTCCTGAAAATTAGGAGGACGTGGGCTAAAGGAGTTGGATATACGTAAAACTTTTATAAATTGACAGTTCAGTTTAGAAGTCCCTACTTTTAAGGAGTATACAAGGCTTAAGAAGGTGGTTCTTAAAATATAGGGATGAGGAGATCGGGGTTTGTTTCAATGGACAAAATCTATTTCAGATAAGGAATAAATCAGCAACAATTTAAGGACATGGTATATACATACATTCAGCTAAGTAGTTGAAGGAACGTGGGACACAAGGCAACCGTGGAAGAATGAAACAGTTCGTGGGTCTGGAAGTTGGAATTCAACAGCTGAACATGAGACAAGTGTCTTGTAAAGAAGAAATGGGCAATTACTTAAAAGGACATGGGTCCTTCTTACAGGGCTTTAATGCCTATAAGTAGTTTACTAAGGACTATGTTTCAAACTCTCTCAACGACATCAACCAACATTCAATACTTTGTATTTCAATTCAAGCAATTTCAATAGAAGTCTTTTCAATTCCTTTACATTCATCCACTTACTTTCAGTATTGCATTTCAATTCATTAAATAACATTAGAGTCTTAACTAAAAGTACTTTCATCGAAGACAAATTCGAAACCTCACAATTGCTTGATCGTTTCAAAATGAATTTTCTTTTCGTTCGACCTCTCTGAATCTTCCAAGAATCTGGCACGCCTGCACATTCCAAATGTCCCAATTTTGTGAAAAAACATGAAAAGTGTAAAGTGTACTAACTTTGAGTTTAGCTTGGACTGTGTCATGGGTCAGAGGCTTGCCCACTGATAAGTTGATAGTGCAATTGTCTTCATTCAAGGACGATGTGAGACAAAAAAAAATTGAATATTTTCACACCTGAACTTGCAATGAGGGCATTCTCATTATGTTCGGACCACCCTACATATTTAGGATGGACTTATAGATCTCGCCGGGTGCTTGGCATAACATTGAATCAAAAAATGAATTTAAGTCTTATACCAAGAGTCACGAGTTGAGAAGTTGACATGCAAGGACGGATGTAGGGGTGGCTCAAGCCCAACTCAAATTTTTTTTTTAGTATGGGCAATTTTAGCCCAGCCAAAAAATAATAATAATAATAAAAAAATAAAAATTACTAGTATTAGTCTACTCTATTAACAATTTCTGGATCTGCCCTTGCTAACATGATGTCGGATTAAGTCTTGAATAGTTCATTTACATTTTAAGCATGGCTCATTTGCAAAATGGTGTAGGTGGAGGAGTTCAAACTATACGCTCTGAATCTTTTATTTTATATATATATATATATATATATATATATTTTTTTTTTTTGTTAATGTACCTTTATAATTTATTCATATTCAGTAATATGCCTATGAAATATTATCTTTGTCTCCTTTAAAATTATTAAAAAAATACATTATTATTTCTCAAAACTTTCATTTACCTTACATCCTGTCATGTCTTCTAATTAAAGAAGTGAGGAGAATGGTGCAATGCTCAAGCACGGAAAGCAATCCAATCACTGGTCAACTCGACACTGAGGCACTTGCAGTTCTCAAACAGTTTGACGAGATCAAATTTCACAAACACGTGGTGCGCATTACACCCAGCGAGCACTTCAGGCAGATCAAGTAGCGGACCTCGCTAGAGATAACAGATATAACGGAAAACAACTTCCAGTAAACAAGACAAGGAGAGAGATGAGTTTTCGTGCCGTGCTTAGGGTTTCACTGAGCAGAAACAAGTCGCCATTGTCGTTGTTTCGACCTCATGTCTTTTCGCGATCGTTCTCTCAGCTTCCCTCAACTCCCAAGTGGTTCGTCAATTTACATTATCTATACACACGTATACATGTATAAAATTATATATTTGTATGTATCTATTCAGTTTATGAAACCCTAAACTGACTTGGTTCTCTCTCACAGGCCTTGTTTCGGAATCGCTTTTGATATCGATGGGGTTATTCTTCGTGGTCGCGTTCCCATTGGAGGCTCTACCCAAGCTTTGAGAAGATTGTACGGAGATTCTGGTACTACCATATCGTACTTCTAGTTTGTTTGATTGTATTGTTTATTATTATTCTTAATTTTTGTAAATTTAAATTTTGGTCTATAGCTTGAATTTTGACAATAGATAACTTCATAGAGTCGAATTGAGTTGAATTGGGGATTGGTGCTTAGGAATCCAAGTGGCAATTGTGACATACTTTGATAACCAGCAATGATTCTTATAGATGAAAATAGGAGGCTAGTAATCAATTGCTTGATGTTCTGCTTTAGCTTGCATTTTGTTCTCTGATTGCTGTGATCATCTTCGGGGTTGGTTGGTATAGTAGCTGCTGTGAATTCACTCTAACTGAACCAATAATGTTCACGGTGTTTAAAATAGTGATGTGTAAGGCACATGTTCATTGAAGAAATGTAAAATCATGAGTGACTCATTTTCTATGGTTAACTTGATTTCGTTATGAGTACCCGTTGTATAGTTGTGGTAGGTTCTGTGCAGAATGCATATGCATATCTTTCCTTACCGAAATATTCAACTTGCTTTGTAGTCAATGGTTCTGGCTCAAATTGATTACTGTTTCTTTGCAGGTGCTCTGAAGATCCCCTTTCTGTTTTTGACAAATGGTGGGTAGTTTGTACTTTGTCAGTTGTGGTTATATAATTACATTAATGTTTAGGTTTAGAAACACCTGAAACAGACGAAGAGCTGTGTGTATGTGAATGATTATGCATTGCTGCTTAAACATGACTTGGGATCTTGTACTGTATAAAACCAGAGTTGCTGAGCTGCCTCTCTTGTAATATATTACCAACAAATCTTGCTGGACCCCTCTATGTTACTTCTTGTTAACACAGTAACAGGTCTTGGATGTAAGTTTCGTGGTCTTCCCCGGAGCTCATTCGAGAACCTGAAAAATAATGTTCCAATTATGATATTCAAATTTTCCTCTAATTTTCAGATGCCTAATGAAAACCACTACTTCCTTTTCTTTGGGTATTTTGAAACATAGTCACAGTTTACATACCAGTAACGAATGTTGTTGCTCAATTCCATAAATCAATATTTCACTAGTTTTAAATAAGGGACTATGACTTCTATGCTTGATTCATTATACGAGAATATATGCCTGGGCATTCTGTTTACTGATGTATTCCGGTTCATTTATCTGCCATACCATTTTCATCTATATGCTCAATGCTTGGGCAGTGTTTTACTTTATTTTTCCATGCTTTTTAACGGACAAGACATACAATAGTGCAAGGAATAACTAATATTCTCATTATATATTCATAGGAGGTGGCATCCCTGAATCTAGACGAGCCTCTGAGTTGAGTGAACTTTTAGGAGTAAACATTTTACCCTTGCAGGTAGTGTTTCAAAAAAAAAAAAAAAAAATTGGTAATAATATCTAAGGAGGGGCCTCCTTGCTTATATTTCCTGCAATTGACTTTTGACTGATGGTGCCTTTCTCATGTCTGTTTTTCACATATTATCCTGATGCAGATTGTACAGGGTCACTCACCTTTCAAGAATTTGTTAAAGAGGTATATTTATGTTGAGTTCACGTAATTCTGATCATTTAAGAATCCTTGGGTTTAGAGTATCATATTATTTTCCAACAGAATCGGTTTTTTTAAAGGTCATCTTCCTCCAAAATTCTTGTTTTTATAATATCAGTGCACAAGTTACAACATTCCAATTAAGGACTGCGCAGATTAAGCTACCACCCTTGGAACATTTAGTAACTGATGAAAGAGATTACTGAATTTCCAAGTAATTTTTGCTCTATTTGAGTCCAAATGGACAAAGCAAGAACAGTTTAATGCCAAACTAAAAATGATGCCAATTGTTATGTTTGCCACAAGTTGCAGAGTTAGAGTTGCGAAGTTGTATACACCCTCATAGAACTTATATTGAAGAAATATAATATTTTAAAGTCTAGTTTGAATTCAGTTTTATTTTTGAAAATTATTCAGAAGTCCTTAACCATATATTCTATCTTTAGTAGCATTATTTTGTGCAATTGTTTTGATAATCTTATGTTTTTGTCAATATTTTTTACTCCTTTTAGATTTGAGAATGAACTCATTGTTGCCACTGGAAAAGGAGAACCTGCTGTGGTGATGTCCGAGTATGGTTTTAAGTAAGTTATCGTCCTTATATTTTAATAGGAGTGTTTATCTTGATCTTCATTCAATATAGTTTAAGATTTTCACTCCTTTTCTTTTCACTTACCTTATTAGCTAAATTAATATTTTATGCAGAAAAGTTCTATCATTAGATGAGTACGCATCTTACTTTGATAACATTGATCCCGTAGCTCAGTATAAGACCTGGACAATTGAACAAGTATCTAGTCATTATTTCAACTCCACGGAGTTGGTCCCAAGATACGACGTCTTTTCTGAAAGCGTTAAGGCAGCATTTGTTGTTAGTGATCCTGTTGATTGGGGGAGGGATATTCAGGTACTTCATTTTTTCCATCTTTATTATGCATTAGGGGCCAGTTAAATGTGATTGAAACTACAAAAATTCCTTTTTTACTTTGGTGGCCTTAAATTGAAGGAAAAAGGGGGAAACTATTATAATTTATATAGCAGTACTTCATGGTATAATATTTCACTCCGATAATTGTTCTATTCTTCGGTCTGGTAACATAGAGGGTGAGATCTTCCAAGTACAAGCCTAGGATGCTCGAACTTGAAGTTTTTCAGAGTGAGTTGGCAGGGGAGAGACAACTCCAAGTATCAGCATAAAGCCAAATCCCCAGCATTGTACTGTAAATACCTGGAGATTCTCCACAGTATATCAAACTTCTATAACTACATTCTTTTGATGCTTTCTTTTGTTCCAATAGAAGTAGTTTTCCAGTGTGCTTGCTGATTGTAAATCTTTATTGGCTTAAATATTCCAGGATTCATCTCAGAAATCAGTACATATAGGGGATTGATCAATATTTGCTTTTATGTAGGAGAAAAGGAAGTTATAGTAAATTCCCTTTTGTATAACACGACACCAATGTTATACACTATTGGTAGCCCGAGCTTTTACCATTGGACCAAACAATAGCCCCCCTAGAATGACAAATTACTAATGGCACAATACCATAGTGGTTTTTTTCTCTCTTTCCACTTATTATCATCATCATCGTTGTTGTTGTTAATTTGTGAGGAGGGACCTTGGCTCATTATTTAGGAGTGCTTTTTTCATCATCTCTATACTTCTCTTTTATTATTCCTACCTGAGGGCAGGCCGTGGAACAACTATAAGATTGCTCCATTGTGACCTGAACTGAAGGTCATGGGTTCGAAATAGGAAACAACCTCTCTGCATGCAGAGGTAAGGTTGCGCACAGACCTTCCCCATACCCTGCAGTGGTGGGAGCATCATGCACTGGGCTAGCTCTTTTTATTACTCCTATCTCCGTGGCTTTTCTTGTAATATTTCCCGGTGAATAATATTGATTGTTGGGCAATCAAGATGTGCTTATAGTTTTTCTTTATCTTCAATTGTGCTGCATCAATTTATCGTTCTCTATCATTGCCTTGCTTTACCTGCCTCTTACTTAGGGTCCATTAGCTTTATTGCATAACTTCTGAGCAGACTGATTGATGGTTTAGGTTCTCTGTGACATATTACGATCCGGAGGACTTCCTGGAAAGAAAAATGGGCATCAACCACCTTTATATCTTGCGGCTGATGATCTTGAATACCAGGTTTGTAAGAACGTTGATTTTACACATAATATTCTGGGGCATATTTTAAGTTTGTTCTTATTCAAAGATTGGAAAAGCAGCAACCCAGTGAATTCCAAAGAAAGTACCGACAGCACATTAAATTTTGGATCATATACAAATCATTGAATTACTTTCGAACAGCCAAACTGAATGTAATAGCTACTGTCAGCAAATTATGTGATCTGATTGATTAAATGTCATCTGATCAGTTATAGTTTGGTTAGGGAATCATTTGATAGTTCTTATCCGATGATGCCAATCAATGTCTCGATGTGTGTGTATTGCCATTTTACAAGCCTAGACTTTTAACTCTATATCCAAATCTATATGATTTTTCTCTTGCATCTATTTGATTCTCTCTGAATATTTACAGTACAGTATTTGATGGTTTCTGTTGGTTATTGAGAATGTACTGATGAGGTGCCAACTCAGGACAGGCTGCATTTCCTTCTGAACGTCTTGGTTTGGGTTCTTTCAGAATTGCACTAGAAAGCATCTTCAACAGGTAAGTTTGGTGTCTATTCATGCTCCCACTTTGCCATTGAACAGTCAAAATTTACTTAGATTTCAGATTTGTTAACAATCCACCTAGTTCCTGTTGCATAACCTCAAAAAGGAAGAAGAGAACCAAGGTTTAGTGGGCAGGAATTAGGAGGGCACTTTTTTTTTCCCCTCGAACTTCTGAATGAGCAAGAACCATGTGTTTTCTTCGGAAACAAATCTCCTAAATATATTATCTTTCTGAATGTAGATTCGTTAAAGAATGAAGGAAGAATCATTGTGTTATGTGCCCCTGGCTTATTGATAAAATTTCACCACCCATTATTGCATTTAACACGTGACACATGAGGCAAGCATTTGTACACGCAGTTTACTGCTCCTGTAATTTGTGTCGTCACTTATTCATCTACGGGCTGTGGCTCATGTCTGATTAACCATGCAGAGTGCACCATAGTGCATTGGAGTATACTACTTTTGGAAAACCAAATCCATTTGTATTCAAGAATGCTGAAGCAATATTGAAACAACTGCAGCCATCTTGTCCCAATAGTCATGCTGTTGATGTTGGCCACATGTCATCACATGCTTTTAAGACCCTGTATATGATTGGTGACAATCCTTCAGTTGACATCAAAGGTGCACAACAGGTTTGTCTGTGCTCTTCTTATGGTATTTGATGATTGCATAAACTTGCGTTCTTCTTATTGAATAGACCGTATTCAGCTTGAAATAGGATTAAAAAAAAACTTTCTTTGTTCCTCCAGGCAGGACATCCATGGTTTTCAATTTTGACGAGAACAGGTGTTTTCAAGGGAAAAGAAAATCCAGCTGATCTGGTAAAGACTGAATGATGTTATTTTTTATGGAGTATGTGCTTAGTACTTCTTGTAGTTTGCTTGAACAGTTCTTCGTTATAATAGGAAGGTATTAAATAGAATTATGTTTAAATGAATATATATATGTGTGTGTGTGTGTGTGTGTGTGTATGCATATATATTTGTTTTAAGTAGGGAAATTAAGTGTCAGGAATGAGTTGCCACTATAGCTTTAGGGGAACTTTGTACGCAAATGCCAATTTATCTACTTTGTTTTCTCGTGCAGGTGGTGGACACTGTGGAAGAAGCAGTGGAGTATATTTTGAGGAAGGAGGGTTGTGCTTAGTACTCATATATTTTTAGCATTATTCTTTCATCGTTTCCATTATGTATATACACATTATATGGTGAAGATGAAGATGAAGATGAAGGGTGACTTCTGAAGTCGAAATGTACCGGATTTTTGAAATGGAATGAATTCATTTCCTTTGTTCTGTTTCCCTCGTGCTTTTATCTCATGTTCTCAACCAAGTTTGGCCAAATTTTGTACGCCCTTGTAAGCTCAAGACATTTTTTGGATGAGTGAAAGTGTTGTCACCCAGTAATTTGTGTCCAGGAACAGACACTAACTCATGGAGGTTGGTGGTGTATTACAAGGTTAAATCCCTACTCTTTAGTTTGTGATCAGGTTGACAAGAAAATGCTCAAAATGGTACTTACAAAAAAATATATAAATAAAAAAGCAATGCTCGAAATGGATTAATTGTCCAACCTCCAACAAAAATGAAAATTTTTAGTTTCCACCATAAAAGATGAAAAATATAAAGATTGGAACCAAAAATAAACAAGGTTAATGAAACATCTTTTCATATTACTAACAAAAGAATACTTACGTTGAATTGGGTTTAGTATTACTCTGCATTTTACAAATAACTCACACCCAAATATATATATATATATATATATATATATTTCAACTACTTCAACTACACTTGCTAGTTTCTGGTTTTAAAACTCAATTTTTGCCAAGTGGGCTGTTAAAAACACCCTGTTGCAGTTATCTAAATTCAATTTTCTTTACAGAAATACCCTTCCGAAGGGCCATCCAAAATGATAGGATAAGGTAACAAGAAACAAGAGCACTACTGAACCAGTGGAGTCCCTTTTCTCTCTCTCCCCACTCATCTTCTACAATGGAAGCGACTCTCTTCACATTCCCCTCCTCCAAACCACCACCACCCTCCTCCCAAGCCCTAACCCTAAAATCCCATTTCAAAAACCCCCTTCTCACCACCATCATCACCGCCAATCCCAACCACCGTAAACCACCACCAACATCAATCCGAGCCGCCATTAGCCGAACCAAGAAAGAAGAGACCGTCGAGAACGTCAAACAACAGCTCCAAGACTGCCAACTCGTCGCCGGCATCAAATACAAGGGTTTCACAGTGAAGCAATTCCAAGAACTCCGAACCGCGTTACCCGAAACCACAAAGCTCATTGTCGCCAAGAACACATTGGTCTACAAAGCCATCGAAGGCACCGAATGGGAGGCACTCAAACCCTGTATGAAGGGCATGAACGCCTGGTTGTTTGTCCATAGTGAGGAAATTCCAGCAGCGCTCAAGCCCTACCGGAGTTTCCAGACGGAGAGGAAATTGCTGGACAATGATTTTGCTGGGGCGGTGTTTGAGGGAAAGTATTATGGGCCAGAGGAGTTCAAGGCGCTCGAGACCATGCCGACCCGGGCCGAGGTTTATGCCAAGCTCTTGGGGGGGTTGAAGGGTCCGGCGTCGGCCGTGGTGGGGACGTTGCAGGCTCCGGCGAGGAATTTGGTGATGGTGTTGAAGGCTTATGTGAAGAAATTGGAAGAGAGTGGTGGGCAATAGTAGATGGGGACTACTGCTTAAGAATGCTGTAAGTGTATCTGGTTGTGTTGTTTTTCATTAATTTACAAGGCTGAAAAAGTTGTGGAATTTTGTAAAATTGATGTGTTTTTGTTGCTGATATTGATTTATATTCCACATTTATGGATAAAATGGTAGTAATCTTTCAATGCAAATCTGACACTTGTAGTATGTGATGTTGTGTTTGTTGTTGTTCAATTTCATGGTGGAAATTCTTAGTTATTAGTGATTGAATGCACAATTTACATAAAACAGCATGGTAATTGTTGTGTTGCAAGAAATGGTAGTGATTGTGCAGTTAATGGGAACCTAGATCCTTCAATGTCTTGGACAAGTTTTGTGTGTCTTTTAGCTTTGAAATATGACTAGTTGAATGATTTTGTTTTGGCCAAGTATGAACTGTGTTTGTATGAGCATTCTGGTATTAATTAAATTTTAGAATGTCATGATCCTTTTATCATAACATTCTAAAATTCAATAATTTTGTTGTAGTGCATGGTACTACATATAATTTTTAGCTTTATTCTTTTATCATTTCCATTATCTATGATAATGTATATACACATTATATGGTGAAGAGGAAACTGAAGCAAAAGATGAAGGGTGATTTATGAAGTTGAATGTACCAGATTTTTGGAATGGAATGAATTAATTTCCTTTTGTTCTGTTTCCCTACTGCTTTTATCCCGTGTTCCCAACCAAGTCTGGCCAAACTATCCAAGCTGAGTAATGCAATGGGAAATTTTCCCTCCTTCCTTTTACATGCATTGTCACTTTCTATTCATCTACTTGTTGTTGGTATGTTATCATCACCGCTGTTTCTGTTTGAGATTATTATTATTGTTTTTTTTTTTTTATTAACATTATGCCCTTGTTAGCTCAAGACAATTTTGAGAGTAGTGAAAGTGTTGTTACCCCATAAGTTATGTCCAGGAATAGATACTACCACAGACTTTGTGTATGAAGACCCACAAAGGTGTGTGTTTGAGTTGCAGCTACGATAGACGATGTGCATGAACCCACACATAAGGAAACACGCCCATTCACAAACACTTATCTGTTTCAAGAAGTGGGGAATTTTGATAAATATTGGGACAGATTAAAACTTTGGGCAAAACGAAGTTTGTCCACCCATCAATAACTCAAAACATTGGAAATATTTGTGTGCTTGCTTGTGTGTGTGTAGTGACTAAAGGTATGAGTAATTATGATTTTAAGATGTGGGCAAGGAAATCACCGATGTTGTAACGTACATTCTTGTACACAAAGGGAAAAGGAACCATATCAGACAGTTAAAACCAAATTAATCATGTCCAAGACTCCAACCCTAACTGGGGTTTGTATATTATTCTTAAATTTCAAACCATTACAATATTGGTGTGAAGTTAGTATAATTCATTATAATCACATGGACTTGTAAGTCAATTCGAGCCCCAGAGTATTGATGTTATAATTTTATTTTCACATGCAGTTTCAGAGTTGCTGTTAGCACATTGTGAGGTAGAAGCTCATCCAAACTAATATATTTTATACAATTTTGGAGATATATATATATATATATATAGTGATAAAACTGAATAACAATTGATTAAGCTGTCACTTTAAAGATCATGTATGTATTGTAATCTGAGAATTCCTATGGATAACTCTCCATCTTTCAGAATTGAGGCATCATTAGTTCAATTTTGATACACATCATTGGATATCACAGGTTCTGGTTGTATTCTGATATAGATCATTAGATATGTATTATGAGGAATATATGCCATGAACTCATTCCAGTTCATGTCTGCTCAACATGAGCTTCGTTTTTCCTTGTACGTGGTTCCAAATTACTTCAATTAGCTCTTTGACCTTCTCCTTGGTATTCTAAATTTTGATACTCTACCTTATTTTGCTAATTGTTTTTCACCTATTGTTAGAAACAGCCTCATATTTACTTAAGATTTTCTGTGTACTTGTTTCTTAGACATTAGGACCCAGTCATGTGTAAGTATTTAGCTCTAACTTCAGAAACGTCAACACGCCTAATATCATTAGGAGGGTATTTAGACGTATAATAGTGAACTGAATAAGCACTGGCCATCTCAGTTTGAAATATGAACCAAAATGTACCCTTCTAGTAGTGGTTTTCTCTCACATGCATCTTCAGCTTTACTCTTCTCGATGTCGTTGATGAGCCTAGACTATGACCCCAGCACAACAATTCTTTTTGTTAAAACTCAGGAGTTCCATCACAAATTTTGAGACGGTTTCGAGTGTGAATGGGGACTTGGGGTTTAGGGAAGAGCGAGTGTTCGCACTTTGCACCGGCAAAAAGCATACAAACATTGTGTTTGCGCTTAGCTGAGTTGAGTTGGGCTACCATCTTTGTTCCTCCGGGAATGCCTTCTTTTTTAAATGGGCAAGAAAGCATAATTCAAGGAAAAGCTGTCTTGGATAGAGCACGATGACGAAATAGGATTTAGGTCATGGATTCCAATTTCTTAGGGCTCAGTTCAGTTTGGTTTTCTATCTTATGCTCATTTCTTCTTAGCACTGTGTGTGTTGATTACTTACTCTTTGATTCTCATTTTTCTTCTAAAGGCTTGGTCTGTATGTTCCTTGTCTTTTGCTCATAACCCCTATCAAAGAAAATTGGGTGCAGGAAAATGAGAAGACATGGAAATAGTAAACGAGTCTGGAAAGTTCACCTGGTATTGGTTCTGGGAAATGAGTAGGATACTTGCAGGGCATGTCCATATTGGTTTCCTAGTATTTGAGGAACAGAATTTTACAAATGTGGACAACAGTTTTCCACATGACATTTATCATATTTGCGGGGGAACAATGTGTTTGAGAGAACAGAATCCGTACATTGGAATTGAAGTCGTAGTCCATATTAATTTTGCTTGCGATTCCATTTCTAAGCAACTGATTCAATACTGAAAAAGGTGCATGAGTTTCTTGGTTTCTGGCTTGCATGAGTTATCTCGAGAGGTTTGGTTGGGTAAGGAGTTGCAATTGCCCCTACAACATTACTAATTCTTGCCCGGTCGAAACTGGAAAAAGATTTGTGTGTTTATGTGTGTGTGAGAGAGAGAGAGAGGTGCACACAGATATTGCTGTGAATGACTACTGTAAACTTAGTCATAATGTGGAACACCATGGCAGAAACTAAATGTATTTTGTGCCAAAATGGACAGTGCAACTTTTCCCAGTTCTTATGTTTGTTATAGCTTGGCTCTGGCATGGGGCTTTTCATTTTTTGGACACGAAAATCGCAGTGCTGGTATGACACAGACATCCATATCGGAGCATGTGAAAGAAACTTTTATGTTATCAAGAATGGACGCGGGAAGTTCAGCTTTCCGTTCAGCCTCCGTCGAGAGCCAAGCTAAAAGAACAAGGAATAAAATATACTTTCATTCATCGACCAGAATGGAATCATGAACACAGTAGCCTTTGTGTCTTAATTTCCCCTAGAATCACTTTCTTCCTATACATTCCAGTCGTTCGGGTCCCATACAGCCTATTCGCTTAGGGCTGTTTGGCATCCATTTCTGTTTTCTGTTTATTCTTTTTAATTCAAAATATAAACAATGTTTGTGTTACAGAGTGTTTAATTGTGATTGGAAGCATGTTTGGTGTTTAATTGTGATTGGAAGCATGTTTGGTAACGAAAATTTTGTTCCTAAGGCTTTTAGAAACAAAAAAGTGAAAACATGTTGCTACTCTTGAGTGCAAATAATGGACTTGGATCCTCTAAGTTAAAAACTCTCTAAATTATCCTAAGTTGAATTAATAAGACATAGACACATGGCATTCTTAGTATATCTAGAACTTACATTATTCCACATCATAAATTGAATAAAACTTAAAAAATGGTGTTGTTTTAGAAGTGCAGAAGACACTGTCCATCCACTAACGATTATAATTGTATGGAGGAAGTTTTCATATTCTTTTTGGACTGAAAATTCTATAGCCTAGATCAGCCCTATCACCTTAACTTTCTGCTTTGTAATTGTCTGATTCCTCAAGGTGCTTTCTATCTCTACACAGGTTAAACCATGTGCACTTAAATTCACCAAATAAAAAACACAACCTTATATGCACAATTTTTATTTTTATTTTTCGAAGCAAGAACTTTTATTAATAAAATTCTTATACAGAATTTAAAATACAGACCTTCTCAAGATTTTGCAAGAAAAAAAAACAAAAAAAAACTTTAAAAAAGCAAATCAAAATCCTAAAATTCAAGACAAATTTGATAACTTGTAACAAAGGCTTACAAGTAAGGTTGTTGTACTCAAAATCGGGCTCTAAAATCATGCCACAAAAACAAAGAGAAGAAATCCATAGGGGAGCCACTCCAGATTGATTTGCAGTGGCCTAACAGTATCAGCATCGTGTGAGTACTAACTAAAAAAAAAACAACAGTGAGTGAGAAAGTATTGGTGACGGCAGCATTAGTGAATGGCATCTATTCTTGTGCTCCTAAAACAACATCATTTTTGTAATTTTATTTAATAAATGGCATGTTATAAACTGTTGATCTGTACAAAACACCACATGTATATGTCTTAATAATTCAACTTACGATAATGTAGAGAGTTTTTAACTTAGAGGATCCTAATCCGAGGAGGGGAGGGATAGAGAAGCAAAAAATAATAATAATAATACTTCGGCAACAAACACAGCACTACTCAAATCGCAACAAAAGTAACTAAATACATTTTAATATTTTGCTTTGCTACAGTACACTATCCACAACAGAAAACAAACAAGACCTGGGTGAATCGAGCATAGATTCTCATGTCGTCCCTACTGTCATTGATGTTGAGAGAGAGAGAGAGAGGGAGAGAGTACCCAAGCAAATAATTATGAAAATAAAAAGATGAGATAAAATAAAATAACTAAGGAATATTTCTTTGCATAATCAATGAGTACCAACTGGTTGCATAAATTACCAAGACATGCTTAAATTCCCACAAGTAAGATGCGAGTAAAAGGAGAAAATGGATAAATTGGGACATAATCTAACTTTACTGTATCAAATCAATTCAAAACCCATATACAATGCCCCATGAGAAGAAGAGGTTGTTACTCTTAAAAGAACAATTGCATTAAACAACAGTGTCCAAATTATCCAACTGAGGTGTTTCTACTGTGGTAGTAGACGCTATTAACAGTTTCAAGCAAGCTGCTGTTAATGGGCTTGAACGACTAGCTGTGGTTGATGCAATTATCTCTCTCTCTTCACCAAGCTTTACCTAGGGTGCTTCGAAAGAATTGGAGAGAAGATGTTGAGAATGGAGACTCACACTCATCGACGCCCTCACAATCAACCAGAGAGTTGGTCCTCGCCATCATTAGTTGATATTGCCTGTTTCAAATAATGGCCCCCCCACAACCCCCCCCCCCCCCCCCCCCCGGCTCTCTCCTTCAGCTGAAACCTGTCAATCAAAAAGTCATAAAATGCTGTCAAGGTCATTCAACTGATCAGTAGTAAACTCAGTGATCAATAAAGCAAGTATAGTTTAGTCTGAGGTCAGAAAGTGTTGAAGGAATCCCCCTCCAAAGTACTTTCACCTCAACCTTCCGCCAATGTGTGTGACAAGGGGAGTAATTGTTGAGGCTTTTATGTGTGGACACCCCCTAACTATGTAAATGCGTTTTGAGGAAAACCATGAGCACCGACAGGAGAGTGTGAAAAGTGTCTACACAAGTAGGCAAAAAAAGAAAGAGGGACAGAGAGTCACAAATTTGTGTATGACCAAGAGGCAAGAGAGCAATATTCCTGTAGAATTCCAGATGGTCTATAACTCCATGAGACTATTAGAGTCAAAAGAAACTGACCAACAGAACAAATACAGAGAAAAATTGCCATGTTCCTAATAAACCATGATGATTTGGGAAATCCTTCAGAAGGATATTATGTAGGTTCGTGACTCGATGTAAATGACTACTCCCCCTTTCTTATCAGCATAAAGAATTTTTCTAGAAAAAAGCTCTCTTGCAACTACCAAACAGTAACTCAACAAAATATTGAGATATAACAATAAAATCATATAGCTTAACGAAAAAAAAATCATATAGCTTTCCAGAATAATTATTCCAAATGCAGGAATGATTTGAAATAAATCCATACCTGTGTCCGACAAATCTAATAGTCTCTAAATTCACTTGCACCAAAAATGTCCAGCAATGTTATGGTTTTAATTCTTCAATAGAACGGATTCTTGAATCGCCAAACCATTGTGTTTGGCAAATGCGGTATGCTTTTCAGTGATATGCAACCTGACACATCCAGTACCTTCAGAGATTCCAAAGCCTCAAGGCCCTTAATCTTACGTAATTTCTTGCAATTATCAAGTTCCAAGCGCGCCAACTTTTTTAAGTTTGACAGATTGGGTAATCTTGCAATGGATATGCAATCACTCATAGTCAAATCTTCCAGTGATTCCAATTTGTCAAGTCCTTGAATCTCAATGAGTTTTGGGCAATCATAAGCATCTAATCTTTTTAACCTTTTTAACTTTGACAGATCTGGTGTCTTTTCAAGATATTTGCAACAACGCATCTCCAAGGATGTTAAGGATGTTAACTGTTCAAGCACATCAAGGCTGGCTAGCTTATCACACTCAGATATGTCCAAACTTGTCAATAATTCTAATTTTCCAAGCCCTTGAACCTCTGTCAGCTTTTCACACCCCTCAAGGCTTAATTCCAACAAATTCTTCACATTTGACAGATCTGGCAATATTTCCAATGAATTACAACCACTAAGAGATAGCTCAACCAGACTTGAGGGAAACCCCAAGATACTTTGAAGATTTTCACATAGATAAACATCAAGTAGCTTGAGCTGTCGAAGGGCAGCAATCTCTCCTGGTAGTGACCTAATGTTGATAGACCGCAAGACCAATGTCTCCAATTTGGATAATTTCCCAATATCTCTAGGTATCTCCACAAGCTTTTGGTAGTCGGAGCATTGCAATTGCTGTAAATTAACCAAATTTGGGAGATTAGGGAATGTATTAGTGACATTCAGGCTATTTAAACTTGAGGGAAGCTCTGGAAGAAATCGAAACCTTTTGCAATCTCCCAAGTTAAGTGTTTGGAGGCAAGAAAGCCTCCAAATGCTCGTTGGTAGGCTTTGAATTTCAGTACCATAGAAGTTCAAAAATCTCAAAGATGAAAGTCTCCCAATGTTACTAGGAATATCACCCTTCAAGTAAAGACATTTTGAGGCATCTATCACTTCCAGCTTCTCCAACATCCAAATTTCATCAGGTAACTTCCTTACTTGATGAGCAGCTGAAATGTCAAGCACTTTTAAATTCTTCAGATTACCAATGGATGAATCAATTTCAATCAAGCTTTTACAGCCTCGAAGAACCAATATCTCTAAAGTTGCATATGCTGAAAAGTCAGGAGTTCTTCTTAAACCACAATTAGCAAGTTCTAGAACTTTCAACTTCTTTGCCACCTGCTAAAATAAATAAACAAATAAATATCTTGAAAAAATCAATTTCTGACTAGTATATGATGGAACACAAGAAGTAGAAGTAGCAATATTCTACAAGACCTTGATTTGGTTCCAACACTCCCAGTCTTCTGTGATGTCACTATCTGATAGATCAAGAATGACTAGATTCTTTATATGAAAGTTGGTGGGTTTAAATTGCAGGGGGCAACTATGCCAACGGAGCCATCTTAACCTGGACAGAAGAAGCTTAAAATCCCCAACAAGGTCTATGCAATCCACTTGGAGATACCTGAGATTCACTAGTCTCGCAAAATCCTCATTTGTAAAGCAGGGCATATTCTGAGATCCTAATTCAAAGCAAAGACTCAGGGCTTCAACCTTTTCAGTTCCCTGCCAAAGAAAAACCTTTAATAAGTGAAAAATATATCAAGGTTTACGGAGTGCTAACAAAATGTAGTAGGGTTCTTAGAGATTAACGTATTATTTTTTATTTTAATCTTCGAATTTATTTTCAATTCCATTTTAATTACTTCTAAAAATAATAATAAAATGATTTATAAATTAATATAGAAAACCATGGGAGCATGCCAGCATCATAGAAAACAATATCTTGAACAAAAACAAAAACAAAAAAGTGTGATATTTAATAATACCACCATATGAAAATCACGTAAAAAAGAATGCCCAAAAATCCAGACACATTAAGGAAAAATTCTACAAAATGAATTGTTGTCCAATCCACGACTCTCCCTTTCTCTGTTTAAGACTTCTTGATGAAAAAGACCGCTTCTGATTTCAGAAGTGCAATTTTAATGATGCTGACAGGCCATCTATTCAACAGCTTCTGGAGTCCTTATTACAAAAACCAATTGTCTGACACCATTTTATTTGAAGTCCAATGTTCTACAACTTGCATATTACGGGAGTAAATTTACAAAAAATTGAAGCAGGGAAGAGAGATTGAAGACACAAATAACTTTCAGGAAAATAAATTAAAAAGAGAGCATTTTTGAAAGAAAAAAAAATGGTGTTAAAAAAAAAAGTGGTGTTAGAGCTAACATTCATGTGAACACGGTCATGAATGCCATTTACGCATGAATATCATGAGATGACATAAATAAGGATCATGAAAATATTAATTAGTCAAAGAAGGGGTGAAAAATTAGGTGCAAAATTAGGTGCATTCAAATCTTACCCTCCGTTCCTCCAATATTTCCAAGGCCTCCTCATGATTCCACAATCTACTATGCTCCTCCGGATTCTTGAAATTTTCTTGACGGACAATTTCCCTACCAAGATCTCTAAGCTGATCATGCATCCTTAATACATTATCTTCCATTTTTACTAGAGACATTAGACAAAGGACATTAATTTCCTTCTGTGGATAATAGCCACAGTCATCCCACATGTGAAATACAGTTGCTTTATCCGTCCCTATAAAAAGACATGCAATATCAAGAAATATCTGTTTTTGCTCATAATTCAATGCTTCATAACTTATTCTCAACTTCTTCTGAACTTCATCATCTGGTATTTTCCTCAACTTCTTCAATGTATCTTCCCATGCCACTTTCTCCTTGTCACATAAAAATGAACCTATAATTTCAAGAGCTAGAGGAAGCCCTGCAGCAGTGGATGCAATCTCTCTAGAGAGACTATTGAACTCCTTTGGTGGAAGCTCCCTTCTGAAGGCATGTATGCTGAAAAGCTGAAGAGACTGCTCAACATTCATTTCTGGGGGTTCATAACTCCCATCCACGTTAAGCACATTTAAAACATGTTTGTTTCTGGTTGTAACAATGATCCTACTTCCTGAACCAAACCAATCACGCTTTCCAACAAGCCTATCAAATTGAGAGCTCTCATCCACATCATCAAGAACAATGAGAACTTTTTCCTGGAAAATCTGTGCTTAATCATTTGAATTCCACTATCAACGTCAGAAATGTCAGGGCTCCATTTTAGGGTGTCAGCAAAAAGCTTTTTTTGCAAACTAACAAAACCTTTGCGATGTTGCACTGTTTCTCGAACATCTGAAAGGAAGCTACCACATTGAAAGAACTCAATGAGCTTTTTGTAGATGTACTTGGCAATAGTTGTCTTGCCAATACCACCCAAGCCGTGGATACCAACAATCCGTACATCATTGGATACAATGTTCAATGATCTCATAACTTCTTCTACATGATGATCGATTCCAACCAATTTTTCAGTTACAACCTTGTGATTCTTCTCTAACTCTTTCAAAACTATTGGAACAATCGTCTTTATTAGTTTTCCTTGATACCTGATTGTAGTGGAGGGCAGAGAAACAAATACTTAGTCCCTAAACAAAATCAAAAATTAACAACAAAGTAAAAGAATAACGGCATCTACTTTTGCATTCAATTCATTAGGGATATGTATATGCAAAGAACACAATAAGAACAATAAAAGGAGACACCACACTAAACATGGATTGACTCACACTTTACCAGCTTAAAATTTGCAACTAAGAAATCAACGACACCTATATACTAAGATCATGGTTTTAGGTTCTTATTCCCCTACTTTACTTATAATACACAATATACTATTCTTATAAGTTCTTGAGAACAGAAAAGAAAATTCCTCTTTTACCTTTTTTACTTTAGCCTTTTCTCAAATATCTAAATCTAGAATCAAATTACCAATCTAATACAGACAGACTGCAGTAACATGTCCTTTATTCAGTACCATCATTTAAAAAAAAAAAAAAAAAAAAATTAGCAATACTCATCAATTGCTAATTGTTACTTTTACTCCTGTTTCATGCATAACAAAGCTCAATGTCAGATTTGGCCATTGATGTAAAATTGTGAGATCTGGTATATTTTCAATTCTGCACTAGAAAATTTCTCAAGACACAATACTACTACAATGAATTTCTATGATACAAAATAATAAGGGTGTAATTAATAATAAGAAGAATTAGCATATACCCATCAGCTTCTTTCTTGACTTCCCAACCCTTGAGTGCTCCAACCTCTCTCAGTGCCTCCTTCCATTCCCCAACAGTCCTGTCATCCAAACACCTCTCGTGCTCGCGAAAGGCCTTCTCGTAAAAACCAGATTGATCCTTCACATCCGAGGGCGTGACATCGTAGAAAATGGGTAAAATCAATTGCCCTAGAGTTCTCCTGCACTCCACCATTTTGGCGAGCTCGCGAAGGCACCATTTACTGGAAGCATAGTTTGTGGAGAAAATTGGGATGGAGATCTTTGACTCAGTGATGGCTTTGAGGAGTTCAGGGCCGATCTCTTCCCCTTTGCGAAGGTCGTTATCGTCCCGAAAGGTTCGAACTCCGACGTCTTCGAGATAGGTGTAGAGGAAATCGGTGAAGGTGAGACGAGTGTCTGGGCCTCTGAAACTCAAGAAGACATCGTATTCGCCTCCAGGAAGAGGAAGGGATGACGATGTGGATGGAGTGTACAGAGAACTGCTACTGCTAGAACTTGCCTCCCAGTCCATTGACTCCATTCCAGATACTATAACTCTCACTATCTTTCTCTCTGGAATTGGGGAAGACGACGACGGCAAAGACGGGTAATTGTAGAGCAACAAGACTTTTTAAGCAACATTTTGAAAAGCATGACATTCTCTAGTAACTCTTTGACATTTCCCAACTTTAAACTTTTTTTGATTGGATGACAATAATACGTGGCCAACGCACGGTGCAATTATAACATTTCGTTTTCGGTCTGCATCATGCGTTTAATACAAATACGCACTAAATCACATAAAGATAAAGATAGAGGTAGAATTAAATCATAAATAATGAGAATTTGAATAATAAGTGTGAAGCATGAAAGTCAAAACACGAAATGTAAAAATCATACCAAAATTATGTGACTTAAATTATATACTGTGCATACAAAATACTTTCTTCACGACATGATTGATTCTAGACCAACCATAAAAGTTTATGTTATTTTTTTTTATTTATCTGAGTCACTTTGGGACTACCTATGCCCACCTCTATTCATTACACACGGGTGATCAATAAAACGACTGCGGTTAAAATTTTGAGAATTTGTTTCCCTCTCCTTTAAGTGAAAAGAATAATAATGTTGCAACATTTGGTTTGAAGGAATAAAATTTCAAACATAAATTTTTAATATACCTTAGATAAATAAATTAAATTAATATAATAATATTTTGTATAATTATTTTAAAAGAAATTGCAATGGTGGTGATAAAAGGCCGCAGTGGAAGGTAGCGGTGACAGTGGTAACGATGACAGCATTGGTGTGGCAGTGGAGGTTATGGTGTTTTTTTTTTTGAAACATGATTTTTAAAAATAAAATAAAAATTTATATGAAATGCAACGACCATTTTATAAGTTGAGATTAAGTGTAACAAATGAGCATTTGCTCATTTATTCAAAAACTCAAATGGTTAGATAGTGTTGCATATCCATTCATTTATACCCAATCACTTTCAAATCCGAATTCGATGTGAGATAAATGACCCTTATTACATCAAAGCCCTTGAGATTTTAGTCATTTAGAGATTAGCAAAACCGCAAATTTAATAAATGGAAAATTAACAGAAAAAACAACCCCAATATTTAGTGGAAGAAAGACAATGAATGAGATGCCTTAGGCAAAATAGCAGAAAGAGGAAGCCCTTAACCTAAATGATTTCAAGTTTGCAGGAAGAGTCGAACAAGTTGCATACTTTCCAAGGATTTTCAGATCTCAGGGCTTCCGTGACGCCCTTCCTAATGATATTTATTACCGAACCAATAATGTAGGTGTATAAAAACAGTAAAAGAAAGAGATACATTGCATTAACTTTTTCAGCATTAGAGAAACATCAATTCTTTAGCATAACATTTCCGCTAAAACTATGTGATGCGCCAATATTAACATAACGCCCACCAAGATCAGAAGTTGAGATTACATCAAAATATTGGGGGCTAAATTAGTGAGTTTGCACGGATACATTCTAAAGATGTTTAGAAAGGATAGACTCGACGACACCTTGAGCTATGGGGTGATAACAGTCACGAGCCTCTGAGAACACCCTTTTGGCAAATATCTTTTCCTCTTCCTTTCCAGTGCCCTGTACAAGTGCGGTATAGAGAGGGCGAAGATACTTCATCCTCCCGACTTCTTTTAAAGTCTTCTCCACCTCGCCGTAGTAATCTCTGCACCTAGACGAAATGGCCAGTTCGAGAAATGCCACCTTGACCTCATAATCTTTTGATTCGGCCAGCCTATAGCGTGCATCCAATGCTGAGACCTGCACAACCAACCACATAAATAATAAGAAAGTAGCAACCCTGTGGTTACTTCTTTGGAACCAAGCAATCACTAAATAATTGAAATTTTCCATGTGTGGGCATTTGCCGTATTTGAAACGAGCTTAAGGAAAAACAATATCTTAAAGTAAAACAATCCTCCCAACAAAAGATGGCGGATATAGACATCCTTTCAACAACAAGACACAGATTTAATTTAAGCACATAAGTCTTCACAGCCCAGTTGTTTTTTTAGTGGCTTGACAATGTGGGATATTCCAACATCCACATTTCCAAGATTCAATAGCATTGGATACAGAATGCTTTCCAACCAAATGACACTGACCTCCTAACAACTTTTTCTTTCTTTTCTTTTCAGTAGGTAAATCACACATTTACAGTAAACACAGAAAGCACTCTTTCCCTTTTTTCGGTAGGTAAATCACACACATTTACAATAAACGCGTAAAAGCACTTAATTCAATCTGTCCATACTAACTCAAGTTACTCAACCACTTAAAAAACACCCACCATGTCAAGAGTGACGAGATGCATATCTACATGAGCTTTTGGCCAATGTTTAAAAGAGTCTTATTTAACAACTGCACTCTACTGGTCAAAAGTATGAAACAGTTCAACATTAGTGGATAATAATACTTGATGAATACAAAAGACCATCTTCACTAGGAAAGATGGCATCAACTAACCACTAACCAGAAGAATAAACTACTATACTAATTTTTGAGTTCCTTGCATAATCCACAAAATGTAAAAAAAAAAAAAAAAAAATTGTTCAACAAAATCAACAACTAATATAAACTTTTTGACTATCTGCGTACTACTTGCATAAGAATAGCAGTACCGGGTGTATTAAATATATGAGACATTATACCAATAAAAGATACAATGGCCAAATAATTCACGGTGTCAAAATATGTTATTATCTATTCAAACCATCAATAACACTGAGAATACAGAAAATATCATCGAAGTTGTCAAGCAAAAACCATACCAGGTTTCACTAGAGAAGAAACATTACCTGTGAAGCTTCAACAGATTTGGGCAGGTTCTCCAAATAAAGCTCCCATTCTTGTCCTTGCCAATCAGCAACTTCATCCTCTCTTGGCATCCTACCAAGCTTGAACTCATTTGCCAACGAAACAATCTTTGAATAGATGTTGGAAACTGGTTCCATGGCATCAGGAGGGATACCAGTACCCTCGGTCCATAGATTTAGATCAATCTGATTCTCTATTCCAGGGACATTCACTTTCAGAAAATCGAGAAACATATCAGTATCAATGGATTGGAACTTGAAGGTGGCAATATATTTCTTGAGGAATTCATCAAATGCAGGCCTTCCAATCTGAGCATTAAACAAAAAGAATCAATCAGGCTCTCTCCACTAAACAACCTTTAGAGTTTAAACTTAACAAACAAAAATACCTGTCGTTCAATGCGCCACAAAAACTGAAAACCTTTCTCATATGGAACTTGAGAATATACATCATCTGGATCCACTCCTTCCTGGTTTGTTTTGAGCTTTGTGAACTCCATATTGTCTTTGAATCTCTCCATTTCCTCGACCAAGCCTCTCCAACCGATTCCAATATTTAATGCAGCTCTGTCCTCTCCTTGCACGGCCTCAACAATTCTCCGTTCTGCATAAGTCGTGAAGCCCTAGAATGAAAAGTAAGCAGTGTGAAATTATTAGCAGAAACACTACAGCATGGACATGTGCAGATCACAATTGGACCAACCACAAAAACCAAAAGGTCAAAAAAATCATTATTTTGCAAAGCCTCGTGAAGAGATCATGTGAATACAAAGAATCAATTTGTCCATATTTTCTTTGCTTGGTTTACAGTTGCCCTAGTATTGATCGATGAATTTTTCCAACGAAGCTATGCCATTCTGAAAATATATATATAAGCGTTACACATAGGAAGCACTTAATATGCGAGTTTCTATTCTTAAGACATAAAGAACAAAATCCATGCTTATTTCTAGATGGAATGAAGAAACCTGTCGTGCACAACTGCAAAGTTAATGTGTGTGTGTGATGGTGATCGTGATCTTCAATCAATGCATACTTGTAGCGATATTTAACTAGGTTGATGCATATGCATATTGAAGGATATATGCTCATCAATTTAGCTAGCCCTCTTAATTAGGATAACAGAAATCCATTTTATAGACCTCAAATCCGTTAAGGATCACACCATATGTTGTACATTACACTTAGAACTCCAAAAGGCCTTTGCGCTTTAGTGTGCCTCGAGCATTTAGCAACCATGTGATGTGAATTAAATGACTCCAATGAGTTGTAGCCTTTGAAAGTAAATACTTTGCAAATAAGGCCATCAGGATAAGAACTGAGAGAAATCACAATCACTGTGTGAAAGGGATCATTTGCTATACTCTGTACATAACCATGTTCAAAAATCACCTTCTATGAGATGGCTTCCACATTTAGAAAGAAAAGACCCATTGAATTGTGCATTTCCGTGGCTAAATGGAGGTAAAATACAACATATTCATGAAATTCCAAAATGCAGCCTAATCGAACACAACAAATCTTCAGTCAAATCATTCCAAATGGCAATTGAATGAACAACATTTAAGTATAGAAGTGCAATAATATGCAACAAAAACATAACCCATTATGATGACTAAATTAATCTAATATTCACCACATCATTATCATTGCCATTTTAAGTAATATTCGTACATATTTAGTTGGTATAGAAGTGCAATAATATGCAACAAAAACATAACCCATTATGATGACTAAATTAATCTAATATTCACCACATCATTATCATTACCATTTTAAATAAGATTTGTACATATTTAGTTGGTATTATAGTATACAAATTACCATGGAAAATAAATCAAACATACAAGTACAAAAATCCCTCAATTACACCTACCTCATTCAACCAAAAGTGGTCATTGGTCTTGTTGGTAATCAAATTCCCAGTCCAGCTATGAGCAAGCTCATGCGCCACCACTTGTGCTCCACTGGCATCCCCCTTGATCACCGTCGGGGTCAAAAACACCATCCTTGGATTCTCCATCCCCCCATATGGAAAGCTCGGTGGCAACACCAACAAATCAAACCTCTCCCAGTCGTAAGGCCCAAACAACCTCTCCCCAACCCTAATCATATCCTCCGTCCCCGCAAACTCCCTCGCCGCAGCATCCAACACCGCCGGCACCGACTCAGCGTACACCCTCGTCCTCGGCCCCACCTCTCTGTACCCAATCTCCCCAACCGCAAAAGCAAACAAGTACGAAGGCACCGGCTGCTCCATCACAAACTCCTCCACCACCCTCCCTTCTGCACACCACAACGAATCATCGCAAACCATCGCCGCCTCGCCGGCCACCGGAGGCCGCCGCTCGACGTGCCGAGCCGACATCACCGCCGACAGCTGCCACGGAACATTCAACCGCGCCGAATAGCAAATCCTCGCGGCCGGTGTGTCCTGACACGGAAACACCGAACGGGCGTGAATCGATTGGCATTGGGTGTACACAAAGGAGAACGATTTGTTGAAGGTCTGCGGCGGCGAGAGCCACTGTAGAGCAGAGCTTGAAGGGCTTGTGGAAAAGATCACCAGGAATTTAGAGTGGTTAGAGAGAGAAACGGTGAGGGATTGGCCTTTGACGGGGTCTACGGTTGTAGAGAGAGAAAATGGGAGAGGGGTGTTGGTGTTAGGGTCGATGACGGAGGTGATGGACAGAGATCGAGTATCTAGAGAGAGAGAGCCGAGGTGAGGGTTTGGTAGAGAGAGAAGGGCCGAGGCGTGGATTGTGGAAGCTGAGAAGTCGAAGTAGAGAGATAGAGAGATGTGGATGGCGAGTGGGTGAGTGGAGTCGGTGAACGAGTGAGGATCCATGGGTGCCATTGAAGGAGGTGGTGTAAGGAGTGAGAGTTAGGGTTAGGGTTTGGAGTTGCAGAGGGGAGAGAGAGAGAGAGAGAGACAGACAGACAGAGAGAGAGAGGTGGTGACTGGTGCGTAGGATTGCAAAAAGCGGTTTTGAAATTGTAGACAAAAAAAATGAGAATTTATTCTACTTGACATGTAATCTTGTAGACGACGATTCCTAGGATCCGAAAAGTACTGTCTTGTTTTAAATTAAAAGCGGTTTATGAAATTGTAGACAAAAATGAGAATTTATTCTACTTTGACTTGTAATCTTGCAGACGACGATTCCTAAGATGCGAAAAGTAATGTCTTTTTTTTGAATTTGGAGGGAGAGTCGCATATTACTTTATTTTTCTTATTCGAGAACTAGAGTATATGTTAAAGGTCTATGAATTATTACAAAGGTAAATTTTCCAAGGTAAAAAAACATAGGTAAAATTTTCATTAACTTTTCAAGATAATAATTACTGTAACCTTTTTCATTATTAGATAAATTAATTCGGACAATATTTATCTATTCACAAATAAGTAAGAGACCCCACCATTTTTAATGTGGTTGGTATACTATTATAAAATCAAAAAAGTAATAAAAAAAATAAAAAAACCTCAATTTATTCCAAAATACTAATAGTTATTTTCTTTATTTATTACTTTCATTATTTTGTATCTACAGATTATGCGTGTATTTATGTTTGGACCACATTAGTTGTCAATATGAATCACCTACCCCACCTATTGAATAAGTAAATATTATGCTCTTAATCTTAGAGACGAGTTTGGGCAAACACCTGATGATCTCGAACAGCCACAAGCCACGAGTTGTTTTTGCACCTTATATGAATTGTTTCACCTTTGCATGTGATTGACTGAACTTTAGTCAAGTCAAATCTAAACTCTTCGTGAACAACTTTCATTTGAAGGCTTAGTCATATTTTAAAATTTAGGATGTAATATTGTCATTAGCCTAAAATGCATCGTTGTGGCCATTGACTTTGCAGAATGTTGCTGCTTGGGCTGAAGCTCAACATCTTCGCAGACAAATCGGTGAGTTAGATCGTAAAGGAAAGATATAATGAATATAATGTGTGTCCAAAATTACCTAGCTTATCCGATAAAGGGGGGTGTGGATAAATGGACAAATAAGTAAAAGGGAGACTCCACAGGGGAGATTGAGAGCTCGATATCAAATAGCATGTTGTGGGTATGGGTGAGTGTGTGTGGTGTGCAATGACGTGATAAATTGCATGTTGTTACAATCTCGAAAGGGAAGCCAAACGTCTCGCCTCATATATTGAAAATTGGAATTTGAATCTCCACAATCACCTCCAATGAATTTTCTTGTTAGATGGTGTCTCATGATGCCCCAATGTTATGTTTGGTGGGGAAAAAGAAAGATGAGTTTAGAGAAGATAGAAATGAAAAAACAAACTTCTTTGTTTAATAGATATGAAAAGAGATGAGAGATGAGTCGTTTTTCATTTTTCACAAATGTTCATTCCTCTAAGTATCGAGGGAAGATGCGAAAAAGGCAAGTGCTACTATAAAAACTTCTAAATTACAAAACATTCCTTATGATTACTACTAATTAACCCTCTTACTTAACAAAGAAATTGTAAAGTTATTAAAAAAAACACATAATTGATACTTCTACTTGGAGGGGTATGATGGTAAATCACTTAGGTGATTACTCATTACATTGTCTCTCTCCTCCGCACAAACCCAGACGGAGAAACTGTCGAACACCACCAGTCTTCAAAACTCAAAAGAAGGGCGAGACAGCTCAGAAAGTAGAAAGAAAGAGATGGACGATTACACGCGAGAGATGATGGAGCTCAAGACCCTGGTCACTCGAACCCTAGAAAAGAAAGGCGTCCTCGCCAAGATCCGAGTAAATCTCTCTCCCTCTCTCTCCTCATTTTCTCATCACAGATCGTCTCATTCCCATTGCAATCTATATAACTGCTATATACCTACAAATGTCTGCGTATATATGCATGTTCATAAGTAGAGATTCAAAGTTTGTTGGATCGCTTGGTGAAATGTGTATATATGCACACACAATATACATTTATTTATGCATATATGTTTGTATATGCAATAATTGGGGACTAGCTTTGAATGGGATGGGTTTCCCGGCTAGTCATGTGGGGATTTATAGCTTGTTTCTTTTAGCAAAAGATGTGGTTTTACTATTGAGAAGAAATTGTCATTATGCATACTTTAGATGCTAGGGCTTCTACATTTTGTCGACTTATCTCACAAGTTATAAAATTTTGATTAACACCGTTCCAAAAATGAAAATTGAAGAGCTTTTCTGAGAACAATTACTGTAAATGGAAATTTGTACAAAAAAAAAGGAAAAAATAGGTTTTCAAAGAACTGTTTTTTAAAGTTATCTGGAAATAGCTTTTTGTTTTCTGAGTTCTTGAGAACTGTTATCAGAAAACTGAACCAAGCAGGCCCTTTTATTTTTGGGAGGGGGGAGTGTTAAAGAGCATAAACTTGCTTGTTGATTTTGTGCTTGCAACAGGAGGAGTCATGTATTTCCGTGGTTTGGGAACATTGGTATTTTAAATATTATTTCAAGCTTGGACTTGGACCAGATCATATAGTGCGGCGTTAGAACTGGAGCACTGGTTATGTTGTATTCCAGTGGTCTTGGATTGAATTACCAATTTAAGAGCATTAATAGATTGCAGCTCCCAGTAAGTGAAAAGTTGGATCACCTATGGAGGTGATTGGAACACTGCAAAGAAATATAGAGGGCAAGTTGTGTTGAACTCAAGAAATTGGTATAGATTGACTTACATGCTCATGCATGCACTGCGTTTGAGTTGGTGGTGTTGGCAAGTTACATTCATAGATTTTAAATAAAAGCCTCACCGACTTATCTATATCATTGTTGGTGCATTGATTGTTGGAGCATGAGGAGGATTCGATTCTTTGTCATTCTAAGTGTTTGATATGAAGATTATAACTTTATATATATTGTTATTTTAAAGTAGAAAATTTGTCTTTCTTTCATTCACACGGGTTAGTTTCCTGACAATACAAGATGCTTCCATCTATGTTTGACATATTTGATTTTCGTGTTAGGCCGAGCTAAGAGCTAGTGTTTTTGAGGCAATTGAAGAAGAGGATCAGACAATTGAAAAGGAAGAAGGATTGCCTCCTGCTTTATTGGGTAGCTGTAATGATCGTGCAAAACAACTCCATGCTTCTCCTTCAGGTTCCATTGCATATCCAAATTTTCCATTTCTCCTTCTCTCTCTACCTCTTGAATTTAAATTTTGGATGGTAACCTTTTATATCGGAAATACCTCGATTTGTACCACTCCCATGTTTGTGTAATTTGTTGGTTTTCGAACCCTTCACAATATTGAATCATTTATAAACATCTGTGCATTTGTGCACTTGTGTCTTTGAGAGAGGTTAAAAGGTTTGTATCCTAAAATGGTTTCTTTTACAATTTTTGATCCATTTGGCATGCTAAATACAGGGAGGTTGCTAACTGCGCTGGTATGTGAATATTTGGACTGGGCACAACTGAGCCACACATTAAAAGTTTATTTGCCAGAATGTAATCTGGTAATGATCTACATCTCTTTGCACCATTGCTAATTTTCTCAATATGTTTATTTTTTTTTTTCCAAATTTTTTTTTTACTTTGTTTCTTCACCTTTTGTTGAATTGCTAATGGTTCTGTTTTTGGTTGTTTTGTTTTTTAATTTCAGCAAAAGGATTTATGGAAATCTGAGTTAAAAGAATTTAGTAGCAAGAATGGATATGATATTAACAGGAATGGGGAAAGTGGTCCTTTGCTTTTGGATGTCCTTGAAGGGTTTTTGAAATATGAGGTCTGATATCAAATCTTACCTGAAAATTAATCTTTTTTCTTTTTGGTACTAAACTCATAAGTTGTAAGAGACATTACGTCTGACATGTGAGTGATATCTTTATGTTTTAAAGCCAATTTATTTGTTAAATGTGACCGGGTTCATCCAGGCAGTTAGTGAAAGCACTGCATAGCGTGTTACAGTATTATTTAATGAAAAATCAGTCATCTCTGCTGCATTAAGTGTATGACAACCTTTGACTAGACAGGGTGTACCTTTCTATCAGGTTTAGTAGCACAATGTTTGACAAAGGGCAGTGGTCCTGCATTATCTTACCTGTTTCTTTTTTACGGAAAGTCATCGCCTTTTTTTGAAGGAGCGAAAGTGCAGCCAGTTTGTAGATTGGAAAGCAACTTATTTTTTGTTATTTAGCTGATCAGCAGGGTATATGCTTTTGGTTTATCCCAACTTGTGTAGTTGGGATAAATGGCTTTGTTTATTTAGTTCATTTTATTTTTATATGTGGTTATATATTCCATAATGTTTAATTTATGTACACATGAAAAAAGTCATCAGCATTCAATACTCTGTTTTTCTCTGTGTCTTTATAATAAAAATTCTATACAAGATCTATTCATTGCTTTAGATATGTCATCTGTGAACCCTGTCTCTGTTTGATGATGTTCTGTATTTCTTTTAGTTAGATCTAACTATCGTCAATTATGCTCGTGTTCTTGCAGAATTTATCACAAGCAAGGGGTCCTGGAAGGAGACTAACTACTCCAGACGCGGAGTCCTTGTCCAATTTAGAATCCCGAAACATGCGGAGACCTTCATCATCAACTATTGCTGGGGGATTACCTCCATTAGGAAGGTGCTTGACATTTTTTCATCTTTTGCCCCCCACCATATTATTTTCTATTCTTAATTAATATGCTTTTTGTTTTTGGGCTTGCTTTTGCTAGGCCATTTCCTGTTTCGCATGCATCTGGTTAGTGTCAAACCTATTTAACATTTGGTCTATTATTTTTCTTTTTTAGCTTGTATTTCTCGTTATCTGATTCTTTTTAGCGTTCAGATAGGAGAGCCGGATCCTCTATGTCTGGTTACAGGAAAGAAGAATACAATTGGAACAATGATGAGGTCTCGGAGGATGTAATTCGTGCTTCAACTGCCTTGGAAAACCTGCAGTTGGATAGAAAAGCTCGGAATCTGAGCACCTCTTGGCGGTTTGTCTTTAAACCCAGAGCAAGATTTTCTTTTAATTATCATTTGGTCGTCAACTTGTTGGCAAAAGTAAAATCAGTATATGGCATGGGGCATTTTACTATTGGGCTTGAGCTCTAGAATATTGACTTATCATTAAAGAAATTCCATGACTTAGGATTAGGAAGAATAACTTCCTCTTTATGATGTAGGAAGTTCTTTTCTGACAAAACAAGCTGGCTATACATTTCCATTTTATAAGATTAGATATCATGTAGTTCATCAAATTATAGTAGCACAGACAATTTTGTGGCTTTTTCATCCAATACTGTTAATTCATTATTTAGTTCTTCTTCCATTTTTATTCTTTGCTGCAACAATCTTAGTATTCATGTTCTGTTCTTCTGTGGGGACCAGGATCCTGGTCTTTTGCAGTCACCGATGCCTGATTCTTAAAAACACTGAGCCTTTTCTTTAATGAGTTAAAATTTTCCATAGTAAAACCAAATTATAAACTTCAAGTACAACGATCTTTTCAACACTGGGATTTTAAGCTTCCAGTCATGACAGGGCAGACACATGATAGATTTTCTTAGAAATTATGGCACTAAATTGAAGCTACAGTTTGGTAGCACATATGGATATCTAATTCATGGAAAATAAAATTTACTTTCCTGAAAAGCTCTGAAATAGAAATTCAGCATTTATTTCGATGAATCTTTTTGCTTGTCAATAAATAGGGAAGAACCAGGATAAATAAAAAAATAAAAAAAATAAAAAAAATCCCAAACGCTTATCTTAATGGCACTTTGTAACCATCTAAGTTTGCGAATCTCATTCTGTTTCCTGGAGGTGTAGGCACGGCCACACCTCATGAATCTGTTTGTGCTTGGTCTCAGCTGTCAGGATATTAAACCCAGTGCCATGGCTATCTGTACCTGTACAAGCCTAGGATCTCTCTCTAATTGTTAGAACAAGGCTGATAGTGTAATCAGTTTACTTAGGATTGTTTATGGACTTGATATCCAAGGTTGAAGGTGAGTTGTTTGAGGAACTTGGGAGCATTGGATAGCCGGATCATAAATCGGGATGAGATTTCAACGTGCCTAGGTAGGCTAGGTTCTCTAGTGAAACAGTTGGTGTAGGATTATTCAGAGGGTGAGAGGTTTTGTCTCATTCGTTTACCCTGTCACTCTTTAAGTTATATCCCCTATAAAATGCCAATATATCTTTTTGAATATCAATATGTGTGAACTGGATTGGTTCCTTTCTTAGCGTGGGCATTTTCATCGATGCTTTCTGAGAAGCTCTATCTGGATCTACCCCGGATCATTTCTATATTGCCCTTCAGTTTGTCCATTTGTCTTTAGTTTGATAACACGTAGTTGACTTAAACCTGTCCCAAGCCAAAATGCCAAGGTGATGGAATATAAACTCTTTGATAGTCTACGAGGTGTTTAATTTCTGGGAGAGGCTGCAAATTATCAGATTTGCAGCTTTGAATTATCAGATTTTCTTTGATAGACAATGAAATAAGACGACCTTTGAATTTTATACATAGGGTGGAAACGAATTGAGCCAACTGCCAAGCGTGAGTTTGGTCTGATCAGGACAAAAAAAAAAAAAAGAAGCGTGAGTTTGGTGGTGTTGGAGTTCTGCTTGGTATGTTTGAGCACTCAAGCCAGGATTCAGTAAGCTATAATCATCGAGCTACTGAATGAACTCAATTTGATGATGGCTCAAAGAGATGTAGAGTAAAAATTAGAAGGCGAGTTGTCAAATTTCTATTGTCCACAAACGTGTCTGAATACACCTTTTTTACCAAAGGACATCTCTTTTTTACCTTGATTTTTTTTAATGCAAAATGTAAATATAAAATCTTGGGCCCCGATAACCTCACATGACTGAACAAGTTCCTGTACAAGTATTTGATATTTTATGAATAACGATGGAATTGCCTAAAAGTACAACATATCCCATTGTGAAGAAACCTTTTTTACGAGCATGAACCGAGCTGAGTTGAGTTTGGACTTGACTGAACACCGCTCTTTTGAGTGAGCAGGATTAATCTTAGGCTCGGACTCAGTTAGGCTTATCTATGGATGACCGTGTGTAACTAATAAGATGAGCCGAGCTTGATCCTTTCTCAGCACTACTTGTATATTTCCTCAACTTTTTCGTTGAAGATTATTCAACAAGATTCCATTCCTTCCAGTTCCTTCTTGAACTGAAACCTAAATTCCAACCCTCCGCTGTAGTTCTTTACCCTTTTGAATCCCATGGGGCCTTTGTTAAGTGGATGCAGATTAAATGTTTATTTTTCTTTTTCTTTTCCTGTAGTTAGTTACTTATCAAAAAAAAAAAAAAAAAAGGGTGTGTGGGTATCCATTGGACATTGGCTGCCTTCAGGCTCTACTTTGAAAAGGACATGATGTATGGATAAGGATTTCATATAACTAACTTGCACTTGGAAACAAGAGTTTGATCAAAAAATGAGAAATTGGAATTTGGTGGCTTCTCCCACGAATTATGTTGTTCCAATTTATAGTGCAGCTAAATTGTATCTTGGTGTTCTAAGAGCAAATAGGCAGGGAGATTCTCTTTCTGCATGGCGTCTCGATCTTGTTGCCAGTTTTTTGACCAGAGTCACTGCAATACTTGGTTGGTAAATCTACGGGGAGGCTTTTTGCGTTGAGGAAAAACTAGTTGAAATGCCACATTTACAATCTGCTCATAAAAACAATTTTGAAGAACATCCAGAGTGGTTCTGGATTTGCAAGTCGTTGAGCCTTTTGAACCTCATTACCAAGATCTTCACTTCCATCTTCTATTTACCGTGAGATTTAGGCTTTAGGATCAAGCATCTAGTCTTTCAAACCTACAATATATTTTCTTGCAAATCGTATCTTGGAATGAATTGTGGCCTTAGCTTCTCTCTGATTTTCCACACTTAGTCAAGGAGATTGTTTTCTGTAGGACTCCCTAGAGTACCGTTTTGCTGTCGATATGCTTCAAAGAAGTTTACAGAGACATTTCTTCTCTCATGTATATATTTTCCAAAAAAGGTCGGAAAATTTTGTTGACCATCTTCACCATCATTCTAAGTTAACTTAATCCATTTGGAATTGGCTCTTCTCTATGGCAAAAATTGATGAGCTCCGTCTTCATATGTCTGTCTTGTGATCCCCTTTCCTGGGTTTTTTGAGTGGCTGATGGGCAGCAACGGAAATGCCTATTCTTCTCAATTCATTTTTGGGGACAGGAGAGGAGGAATCATCTCAAGTGTACCCAATGGTGGTGTTTTCTCCTCTTAGTTCTATTTATTGGTGCCTTCTTCCTTTTACATGGGATCTGCCTTCCAATTTATATATTATCCTCTCCTAGTAAATTTGATGTTCCATGAACAGAAGCAACCAATTTCTCTCCTACTGTATTTACGAGAACTTAGTGGAGCTTTATTCTCATCCACCGATAATCATGTGATTAATTGTGCATGACTTTATTCTTGATCATTGAAAATGAATGTGATTTATTGTGTCATATTCTGTGCCATGCTTTGTTTTTCTTTTTCTTCTCTTTTTTTAAATTTCGTTTGGGGATAGAGAAGGGAGGGAAGGAGGATTTGACACACCAGAAGCTTTGGTAAAGATGGCAAAGCTAGGTATGCTAGAATTACATGTCTGCATCACAAAGAATATGATTTTGTAACTAAGATAAGTGACTTCTCGTTTGAATGATGACGTATATAACATAAATCTACTTATCGTCTGGTGTTTTTAATATCTAGAAACATGTGCAAGTTTATATATACTATCAGTGACGGCACTCTACTAGCGCCCCCTCCCCCACGGGTTCTATAACTTTATCATTTCTCAGTCAATCTAATTGAATTGTATTCTTGGCCTCTGATCCATGTTAGTGGTTACTTAGGAGTTTCTGAATTTCGGATGCAGGCACGCTGGGGATGGAACCGCTGATGATGATGGCAGGCTTGACCATATGTAGCTGAATGATATCTTCAAAGTATTGCATGTGTAGTTTGTCATGTATTTTAATCTTATCCATCAATTAGTTTGATATCAAATCAGGGTATAGACATTATGTAAGTTAATTTTACACAGTGTGCATTGTGTTTTAGTGTTTTGTGTGCGCTTTCGTCTTTTGACCCTCTGAAATTTCATTCAGCTTCACTTTTCCCTAAGATGTTCAAAGTGTCAAGGGTGGTTATTGTTGTGATCATTATCTGCTCATTGGGTAAATGTGGTGCCTGTGCTTAACAGGATGAAGACAGCATGAACATTGATGCAAAGATGATATTAATTCGAATTTGTTACAACTATAATTGGAAACATGACATAAATTCAATCACTGAGCATTTTTTATTTATTTATTTTTTTTTCAAGGTGAAGTGATATCTTTTTTTTATTTATCCAAATGTAATCTCATTAGGGGCAATAGTGTGAGTGACAGACTTGAGCACAGTGGAAGGGAAGTGTGGTTAGTATGAGATTATGATATTTAATGAAATTTCTGAACCCCCACCCCCCACCGGCGGCAGTTCCTTTGTTTTTTTAAAGTTTCTTCATCGAGTAAAATTAGAAATGTCGATACATGCATATATTAGGGTTTTGCATATTGTATTCTTCAGTTCTGTTGCTTCTTTACCTAAATCTGTTTTTGAGTAATATGTGCCTGAGAGAGGATTGATTCAAGCAGCTGTTAGGGTTGTCAATTTGAGTGTTATTCCTACCACATCAAAATGGTTGTAGAGCAAGATTAAGTATCGTTTATTATTATTATTATTAAGAAAATGTGAAATTTATTTCAAAGTATACTTAGAAAAAAACGCTTTATTATTATTATTATTATTTGTTTTTTCCAAGTCAAGCAAGACAACACTTTTCTGTTTTATTTGTCCTGGCAACCGAGGCACGGTGTCTTGTGAAATGTGAAAAAAAAATAAAAAAAATAAAAAAAAAAAAAATAAAAAAATTGTATTATTTCATTTTCGTTCACACTTATAATTTCTATTGAAAATTTTTAGACGGATTGAATTTACTTTAAAAAAATTTCCAATCAAAGTCTCATTTTGAATCGGTTTATCTACTTCTTGAGTTTATGGGCTATGGTCGTGCTTGGATTTCAAAATTGTGAGATTTGAATATAGGCCTGACTTGAGGCCCAACAAAAATTAATTGGAAATTTGCTCATGGACGCAATCCCATATTTCTGGCAGTCCGATTCCTTCTCGGTGCACATCTAATTGTCTGATAAATGATAAGTCCCAATTGACTAATTCAGTATTTAATTTTGATAAGTCAATTCGTACCTAAGTTTAAGGGGTGGCAATTGGGTGGGTTTAGACAAGTTTTGGGCCGGGTATTAATGGGAGGGACAACAATGGGTCACTAACCCATTGCCAACCCACTTATAGTGAATTATAAATGAATGGGCTGTTAAATGGGCTGAGCCAAACCCAACCCAATTATAAATGTTTTTACTTTTTAGAAATAAATTGTCAAATATTTTAAATTCTTGAATACCAAAAAATAAATAAATTGTTCTTGTAACAGTTTTATATTAATTTTTTTTGTCTCTGGTGCTACAATTTTTTTTTTTTTTTTTGAAAAGTCAGGTACAACTTATTACTCTGCTAGTATTAATAATAATAATAATAATAATAATAATAATAATAATAATAATATATATAAAGGAATTTTAACCTGTACCAACATGGTTTTAAATTTAAATTTTTTTATCCAATAAAATAGAAATTGAGTTTGTTGTGAAAAAAAAAGGAAGAAGAAATATAGAAGTTCACAGCCCAGGAAAGAAAAAAAAAAATAAAAACAGAGAGGATAGAGAAAATTTTGGAGAGGCCAATTGTAATAGTAATGGCAAGATCTATGAGCAATATTTGTAATAATTCTATATTTTAGGAAGGGACAAAATTTAATAATAATTAAAAAAAAAAAAAAAACTGTGCCAAAATTTTTTGAAAGTTAAAGCAGTGCCAAATTTGTGAAAGAGACCAATTTAACAGTAACTATGTTGGCCAATGAAATTACTTCTCAAAAAATAGAAATTAGAAAAAAAGAGATGAAATTACTCTCTCTAAAATTTTTGAGAGCAACCAAAAGAGATAAAAATCTTTCCCAAAAAAAGAAAGAGAGAGAGAGAGTAGAAAAAGAGAGAGAAACAGAGAAGAGAGAAAAAAAAAAAAAAGGGAGAAGAGAAGAGAAAATGGAGGAAAAAAAAAAGGGAAGAGAACAGAAAACAGAGGAAGGAGAAATGGATGAAAAAAAAAAAAAAAATGGGAAAAGCGAGAGAAATGGAGGAGAGAGAAAAAGATTTTATTTCAATGGGTACCTACTACCTACTATTCACCCGTTATTTATCCATGAATATAATGGGTAATGGGTATCCATTAATTACCTATTTATTTAAATTGATTACACAAATAATTTAATTTAAGCGAACGGGTTTGGACGGTTTAATGGGTTTGGGTATAAATTGCCACCCCTTCTAAGTTTCTAACCGTTTAGTTCGAATGTGAATGCTTTACCGGGGTGTAATAGAATCGGATCCTCCAAAAACCATTCCGAACCGAGGCAAACCATGTTGATAAGTCAATTCAATATTTGAAGTAATTTGAATATTATTTTTAAAAAGTATACGTCACTTAAATATGATAATTTAAGTGATAGAAACTTTGCTTATTAATGAATGTTGAGTGCTTAAAATTTTTAAAATAAAAAATTTCCATTTAAAACCTTCATCTATTAAAATTTTTAGTGCTTAAATTTAAATTTTACCAAATAGAATCGTCTTTATATTTACCTAGCCAAACTCGTGTGTTAGATAGTAAAGACTGTAGTTTAGTGGTACTTTCTCGTGGAAGGTCGAGATTCAAGTTATAGATAATCACGGGCATGTGGGTATGTGTGTACACGAACATGTCAGATGCTTTGCAAGGTTGGTTGTGAGGATTGTGGCCCAGATTCGTGGAGAAAGAAACTTCTTCAAAATATATGTACAAAATACTCCATGACACTCAACCACAATAGGCAAAGGTAAGTAGACCATAGAGTCATGGAGGAGAACTTAGAATTTCACTCTATTTGAATTTAGATTAAGGCTCAGGGTTGGGATTCTTTCCAATTCCCTTTTGAACTCTTCTGGGATATTTTGCATGAAAATATTCCAGAGATTTGTGAGAAAACTCGAAGCCTCAAAACCCTAGTTTTTCCGTGCATTTGTAACTTTCGGCTTTCAAAAATAGGAACTTTATCAGCCGATACTGATCTTCATCAATCGAATTTTAACTTCAATTTGTTGTTCCAAGTTTGCAACGGTGTTCTCTAGAAAAATAAATAATAAAGGAACAGATCGTTTGCGGAGTATCAATTTGGGTCATAATTAATGTAACTTTGCTTTAGTATAGTAGATTGTTTTATTTCGAAGTCTTGTGATTTTTTCTCCTGATTTGATTGTTAACCAACTTGAAAATTCAATTATGCAAAAAAATTGAGTAAGAACTATTCGCCACCCTCTAGGCTTATAAAAATATCATATTACACTAAATTAACTAATCACTTTGGCGCCAAAAAAAAAAAAAACCTTCATTGTAAACAACAACTATGCATGCCAACTGTTCGAAGGCTTCTTTTTGTTCACAAAGTTGTTTCCATCATTCATCAACTTCTTTACTTCTTTGTGTCTTAGGTAAAACCACCCTAAATGTAAAAATATTCTGGCCAACAACATTTTTAAGGTTAACCATACTTAGGTCAAAAACTCCTCATACTATGCTAGTCTTAACCATATATTGGTCCCTCCAAAATTCTTTGAACCTATCCCAATCCATCTTATGTAATATAACAATGGTCTGTCACTCCCACCATGCCTGTAATTTGGTTTCAGTCATTGTCATCCATCAGTCTCACAAATGTATATTGGTCGGTACTCTTCTTTTTCTTCTTCTTCTTCAAATTTTAAAAAAAAATTGTACATATGTATAAAGATTTACGAGGCCATAAGGCCCAGCAACCTAACAACCAGGCAGCCAAACTGAACAACCCAACCCAAGGGCCAAAACAACAACCCAACCCAATACTAACGGGCCAGTGGCCCAACGGTATTGGCTTCTTATCTCCCAAAGGGAAGTCAGGAGTTCAAGTCTGAGTACCAAGTAGGGAAGAAAAAAAAAAAAAAAAAAAAAAAAAAAAAAAAAAACAACCACCTAACCCAATGTATAACTGCTTTGAACTGCTTCTTCTCCAACACTACCATTAGTGCAAGCAAAAGATAGCCGTTAAAACTACGCTTTTGCAGTTAGCAATGGCTGTCTTTACAATCCGGTCAGTGATTTACGGGGTTAATCCTTGATGCGAAGGACACCCCAATCATTTAGTTAAGTGGCCGAGGGGGCGTTCTTGGACGAACCGAAATCAAGCTTCATTCTTCCACAAGGACTGAGATTAGTTCTTTTTTTTGAAGCTTTGAGGATTCCAGCAATGGACGACGCTACTAATTTGAGAATGACTGCTTGTGACGAAGGCGTGTTCCTGTAAAGTCTATTATTCCTCTCTTGCCTTATGGTGTACACCATGACTGCAAGGGCCAATTTGTAAATTAGAATTATAGGGCTCTTGTTGACTCGCCCAAATGATGAATTATGACCAATTATCGCTTCTTGTGTAGCAACTACACCTGTCTTGAATGAATCGCCATATTGGGGAAGTAAACTCACAGTCAAAGAATAAATGTGAATGGGATTCTGGTTTGGAGTAGTAGAGGTGACAAGTTTTGGGCTAAGTTTTGGACATGATTTTGCTGTCCAATATGGGTAACCTATTCTACACTGCAATCCACAGTATCAATTTCTGTCGTGGAATAGCAATTAAGTCCCATACTAGCTTGGACTAGTGGATGGCTGAGTGGTTTGGTGAAAGGGCATACAAGGTATGCTTGAGTGAGTATTCCCCATTGGGACTCTCTTTCCAAATGATTTTGTCTTGTGTAGATGGCATTGGTGGTTATAACAAGGGGAGCTTTGGGATAGTAATGGTGAGTTGATGTGGAAATGCCCAATTTGTAAAGTTGATATAGGAACTTACTTTTGTGTTGAAAGAAGATCCTAATGCTTGGATGGTATTATCATTGAAGATGTCTGTGACGGGTTCACCATTGAGCCAACTA